AAAAATCGGTTCCAACATACACTTCGTATTGGGAAAAAAATTGTAAAAAACGTGTAAACCGAGGCATTATTTTCAATGGATTTTCATTCGTAAAACCGAAAATTACGTTAACCGATGCGTTCGTAAGCCGAGGTACACCTGTATTCTTCGGTATTCGGTATTCTTTCTGTTTATGACTGTTTCCATATGAGGATTATAACTGGGTAATTAGTAAACAATATATGGATTGTGGGCCCATGATCCATCCACCACCCGGGGTCCATGATGACAGTTTACAAATGGTTGGTTAACTCGTTACCCCTCAAGTAATGACCTTCCAGCCCCCTGCCAGTAATTTAGAAGCCTTTCGACAAGCAGAAGATATAAAGAAATCCCAAGTGTGCAGATATGTACCGCTCAGGTTTATGTGTTGCAGATCCTTTAAATCAACCATAGATGTAGGAAGGCAAGAGAGCTGATTGTTGGATGCCGATACATGCATCAGACTTTTCATTTCTCCAATGCTGTTCGGAATGAATTTTAAATCATTTTCTGAAATGTCAAGACTCTTGAGGTTTTTCAGTTCACACAGATCTTCTGGGAGATCTACAATCTGAAAAAAAAAACATTTAGAGGATGTATTGCATAAACGTATATCACATAATAAAGTGGTTGTAAACCCCTACATATACCCAATGAAGTGAGGTGATACACAAGGATGAAACAAATCCTCCTGCATCAGTTGTACCTTTTTATCTGCAATTATTAAAAGTCCAGAATTTGCACAGAATGTAGAAGGCAATGGATGGGGAACTGACATCACACACTGCACAGCAAAGAGCAGAGAGCTGAGTGTAATCTGAGACCTGAGTGGAGGAATGGACATACTCCCTTTACACATTCCCATAAGGAAACATGTACAGCTGAGGCTTTAAAACACCTGCTGTGTGCTGGATAGGGGGCATTTCCTGGGTGTAATGGAACTGACCCAGACTGCGCTTGAGTACTTCGGAAGACTATGGCATCCCCGTCCGAACACCGACAACAGACACCACAGCCGACCATACAAGACTAGACAACACCAGTCTTGAAGTAAACCAGGTAGACTAGTTTTTTTGAACATAGATACAAGATGTATACACTCAGGGGACAATCCCCCCTCCCTGCATAATGACACAGGGTGGGACAATCTACATTTAGCAACAAGAGACACACAGGTATTCACACTTCACACCAGCAGACAGTCCCATCAGGAGGGAGGGCTGCTGGAGACACCCCCAACTAAGCTAATACACATAAACACATACATCCCATAATAGTTTGCTCCCAAGCAAGACAAACAATAGAACAATGGGATGCAACCACATGACATTAAACAATCAACAACCCCCACACAATAATAGGACAGATCACCCTGTACCCCTAACAGGCACAGGGTGATTTACAAATAAGAGGGCCTGACTGTGGACACAGTACAGGGGATGACCAGAGACTGTGGACACAGTATAGAAGACCAGAGACTGCGGACATAGTACAGGAGATGACTAGAGACTGCAGACAGTACAGGGGATGACCAGAGACTGCAGACATACTACAGAGAGACAGTACAGGGAATGACCAGAGACTGCAGACACAGTACAAGAGATGACCAGAGACTGCGGACACAGTACAGGAGATGACCAGAGACTGCAGACACAGTACAAGAGATGACCAGAGAATGCGGACACAGTACAGGAGATACAGGAGATGACCAGAGACTGCGGACATAGTGCAGGGGATGACCAGAGACTGCGGACATAGTACAGGAGATGACCAGAGACTGCGGACATAGTACAGGAGATGACCAGAGACTGCGGACACAGTACAGGAGATGACCAGAGACTGCAGACACAGTACAGGAGATGACCAGAGACTGCGGACACAGTACAGGAGATGACCAGAGACTGCAGACAGTACAGGGATGACCAAGAGACTACAGACAGTACAGAGGATGACCAGAGACTGCAGACAGTACAGGGGATGACCAGAGACTGCACATAGTACAGGGGATAACCAAGAGACCGCAGACAGTACAGGGATGACCAAGAGACTGCACACAGTACAGGGGATGACCAAGAGACTGCAGACAGTACAGGGAATGACCAGAGACTGCAGATACAGTACAGGAGATGACCAGAGACTGCAGACAGTACAGGGATGACCAAGAGACTACAGACAGTACAGAGGATGACCAGAGACTGCAGACAGTACAGGGGATGACCAGAGACTGCACATAGTACAGGGGATAACCAAGAGACCGCAGACAGTACAGGGATGACCAAGAGACTGCACACAGTACAGGGGATGACCAAGAGACTGCAGACAGTACAGGGATGACCAGAGACTGCGGACACAGTACAGGGATGACCAGAGACTGCGGACCATTGGGGGGGGAGGGGGAGCGGGTACCTGAATTTGACAGGTACCTGCTCCCACTTCCGCGGAGTTGTCCTCCCTTTACTGTGGGCACCCAGCTGCCCACTGCGCATGCGCGAGAAGCGCTGCACTTTCTGAATGGCCTGGCATCTTCTGGGACCTGTCATGTGTCCCAAAAGACGCCGGACCATTCACAAAGCGCAGTGCTTCTCGCGCATGCGCAGTGGGCACCTGGCTGTCACAGCCGGGTTACCACACTGAAGATGCCGGCACGGGAAGACTGCACGGCGCTGGACCGAGGAACAGGTAAGGTCCAGCTGCAGAGAAGAGCTGTGCAGCCAGCCCGGTATTCTGACACTGAAATACCGGACCAGCCGCTCCCATATTAGCTCAATAAGACACACTGACATTTCCCCCCCTTTTTTGGGGGGAAAAAGTGCATCTTCTAGAGCAAAAAATAAGGTAACTATGCAACTATGTAACTTGCAGTTTCAAATTTCCATGCTGCTTGCTCCTGCTCTCTCAGTGCTGCTTCACTGAAATTCCTGTCTTCACAGGAAAGAGTTAACATTGGACAGTGCCATCTTGAGTCAGTCTGTTAGCTTACAGCAGTGGTCTCCAAACTGTGACCTTTGCTTGCTTTTAACCAGCCATTGGGGCATTATTGCCCCCACTGATACCAAAGATGGGGCACTATTCCTTCCACTGACACTAATGATGGGGCACTATTTCTCTCACTGACACCAATGATGGGCACTATTCCTCACACTGACACCAATGATGTAGCACTATTCCTCACACTGACACCAATGATGGGGCACTATTCCTCCCACTAATACCAATGATGGGGCACTATTCCTCCCACTGACACCAATGATGGGGCACTATTCCTCCCACTGATACCAATGATGGGGCACTATTCCTCACACTGACACCAATGATGGGGCACTATTCCTCCCACTGACACCAATGATGGGGCACTATTCCTCCCACTGACAACAATGATGGGGCACTATTCCTCACACTGACACCAATGATGGGGCACTATTCCTACCACTGACACCAATGATGGAGCACTATTCCTCCCATTGATACTAGTGATGGGAGACTATTCCTCCCACTGACACCAATGATGGGACACTATTCCTCCCATTAATATCAGCTTGATATCAACAATGGGCCACTATTCCTCCAACTAATATGAATGATGAGGTATTGTTTATTTACAGCACTAGGGCCAGGCCACTGGCCCCCTTAAAGTTTGAAGGACAGTAAAGTAGCCCTTTGATTGTAAAGCTTGGAAACCCCTGGCTTAGAGGATGGAGGAATTGGGGAGTGCCTTGCCATTCTAGGCTTCAGGGCTGTGTGTTTCTATTGATGCACACAGTGTTAGGAGACACAACTCTTGTCCCTGCATACAAGCGTGGCTTCATAGGAGCAAGAGAGAGAAAGGAGTCACCCTGAAACAGGAAACCTGGGGCAGCGGTCATGGCACCAGATTAAAATGCAACACAGGCATAGATTAATAGATAAATAGGCTGCTTAATCAGAAGAACTGAGGGTGTAATATCACTTTTAATGGTGGTTTTATATCTGCTTAGTTCAGTTTTAATGATTGCAATACACTCTTTTTTTATGACTTATTTTTTTCTAAAAATGTCAGCTGAATTCACTTTAACAAACAGAATGGGTCAAAACTTTCTGGTGTACATGTAGTGCTGGTTGAGAAACTATAGTCCACATTCTAAAACAACCTTTCTCAATAATTTCACCACAGAGGAAACAATTTTCAGGAAATGATTTTCAGGTCCCAGGGAACCCCTCAAAAACACAATTCATTGGGGATCAGTGGGGAAAAAAATCTCTCCTTTCAGTGGCGGTGAGAATGCCATCTTTACAGACAGCTAAAGGTTTTCTGCAAAATAATGCTGGCCTTGGAACTATACAGGTACCATCAGATGGGAGTTCAATCGGCCAAAGCTCAAGGAACCCCTAAAAACATCTGCCAGAACCACAAGTGACATCATGACGTCCCTACCGGCATCCCAGGGCCATAGAAATGGCTGGACACCATCTGATCAACGGTCAGCTCTGTGGTAATCCAGATTCCAGCTTCTCAGTTGTATGGGAAGCCTGGTAATAGCGCCGGTGGGCGCTGGGAGGGGGGGCATCCCCTCCCACCACCCCGTAAAAGTAATCCAGCAGCTGATTAACCGCTTGGATTACTTTTACTTGAAAGAGAATGGCCAGCTTTAAAAAATTATACTGGGATCATGGTTGTAGCCTCAGCCATGATCCCAGTATCACTGCTTCTCTGCCAGAACATATATGTACTATTGCTTTTAGGGAGGATTTGCATGGCTATGCCCTGAAATGAGACATAAAATCATTATTTTCTGGATATGTGATTAAATGAGACATGTAAATACCTTGTGCTTTAAAAAGGTTCTACTGTTCTACACACTTGTTCACTGGAAGCCTTTCTATTTCCATTTGGCCAACTTATTCATAAACTATAAAGTTATACTTTCCTAAAAGTTTCAGATAAAAATCACGGCTGGCGGCATTATTTAAAAGATAAAGACTATGGTTGAAGTTGGATATTGTCAGCTAAAAGTGTTTTGTCCACCCACATCTAAGCAGACAAAGTAGCACTCTAAAACCCAGCAAGTCAAATGTACTTTCATAAAATATAGCATGAACACCTGACTCCCCAAAGATATTTTTTTAAGAGCCTGGAAAAATAAACACGAGTATACAGAGATGAGCAAATATCTGATTACCTTCCTTCCCCTCTCCTGTTTGATTTTCAGTGTTTCCAATGACAAAACATAGCACACCTCACCAGGGAATGCTCTGAAATTATTATTTGAGAGGTCCAGGTCCATCAGCGTTTGCAGCCAACTGATTTGTGCTGGCAAAAACTCAATCTGATTGTCTGACAAGTTTAATCTTTCGAGACTCTTTACAGTGCAGAGTTCAGGGGGGAAATGTGTAAACTTATTACACTGGAGAAGAAGATCAGTCAAAGAGTCCATCTCAGACACGTTTGGTGGGAGTTCACAAAGCTCGTTCCTGCTCATATCTAAGTAAATGAGATTGTTAAGTGTGCACAAGTAAACTGAGAAAGTACTTAATTTGTTTCCACTCATCTCTAAGCGTTTCAGCTGCTTGTTGTAAACAATGGTCTCAGGTATGTCATGAATTTCATTTTTATTAAGGTTCAAATGTAGAAGTGTTATCATGGAGGACAAAGCTTGTGGGACTTCCATCAGCTTGTTACCACTCAGATCCAGATGGCTGATTTGTAAACAGTTTTTCAATTCGATTGGAACATAAATAAGCTGATTCTCAGCCCAGGAAATTGAGGAAATACTTTTGAGGTGAGACAGTTGCTCTGGTAAAACTGTCAATGCATTTTGGTCAACCTGAAGCTCCTTTAGCTTTTTCAACTTGTGAATATTTTCTGGAAGAGCACACATTTGGTTGCCACTTAAATTTAAAGTCTCTATACTATGACAGTTGCAGATACTCTCTGTAATGAACTGAAGCAAATTATTAGAAATAGAGAAAACTTTGAGTTGTTGTAGTTGCTCTATCTTGTCTGATAATTTGGTTATCCGGTTATTATCAAGGATAAGTTCTTCCAAGCTGGTCAAGTTGTAAAGTTGTACAGGTAAAAAGGTGAGCTGGTTATTACTCAGTGACAGTTCTCGAAGGGCTTTTAGGTCACCAATTTCTTTTGGTAAACTTTTGATCTGGTTTCCACCTACACAGAGCTTGACCAACTGCAGGAGCCTGAAGATGGGCTTGGGCAAGCTAGACATATGATTGCCATCTAAATTTAGAACATGTAGGTTTTTAAGATTGGCAACTGACTCTGGCAAAGTTTTGAGGGCGTTCCTGCTAAGTCCCAAGATCTGAAGGGTTGCAAGGTCTCCAATACATGTAGGTAATTGTGTGAGATGGTTATTGTTGGCAAAGAGTTGCCTGATGTGTTGGAGGTTTGAAATGTTATCTGGGAGGGATGCAATTTGGTTATGGTTTATGTTTAAGGCCTGTAGTTGTGAAAGATGCCCTAGTTCAGAAGGCAGACATTGCAACTTGTTTCCCTCAATGGATAATTTCTCAAGCTGCAGGAGAAGCTTCACATTATGAGGCAAGTGTTGGATTAGATTGTCGTCCAACTGAAGAGCCTTTAAGGTCGGGCATTTAAAAACATCTGCGGGATTTCATTTAGCTGCTTACTGTTAAGATTGACAGTCGTAATATTGTCCATCTCTGGTGACATTGTTGATACTGTTTTCAAAATCTGTAGATGACAGTAAATTATAGACAGTTTACTTTATCTACAATAGACCAAACTTGTATGCTAAATCTACAAACGTGTATAGCCAGAAAACCTAGCGAAGAAATGTGTGAAAGGGTCTGGGTTGTGTTCACAGTGCTATTTTAGAGGTAAGTGCAGAAGTAGAGATCAGCTTCATATAAAGAGTATCTTTGACTAAGCCCATTGGCATGAAATGCGTCAGTTGGGCACTTTCTGGGAGGGGACTAGCTGCTGTTATCTGTGGCTGAAAAAAAACTTTAATTTGTATGTGACCTTATCAGTATGTGGCCTTCTGTCTATTGCAGTGATCGTACAGGAGGCTGAGATGGGCTCCTTGGCCAACACCAGACGTCTTTGTAGAGACAAGGGGCATTTAGTGTATGAAATGGTGCTGTTCCCTTTGTCAACAATGCATGTATAAGTTATAAAATGATAACTTTGATTCTTTGTATAGTTTACATATGTGCACAGGTGAAGGAACATTTGCTTCAGATTTCTGCTTTGCATTGCTACACAACAGTTGTACTTTACTGCTCCTTCTTTTAATGCAAGTCTATAAACTGGGCAGCGTACTGAAAACAATGCAGTCCATGTGTGGCTGACAATAGGCAACAAATCATTACACTACAACTAAAATGCATAATGATTTTCCAGTCATTTTGGCCAGCTGATCTTAGCATTACTGCTTCCACTCATTCTCACTCAACAGTGGTGGCAATGCTGATTCACAGTGCAATCAGCAGGCTGGAGTTGACATAGGAAGCTGAATTATAGAAAACAGAGTCTTTGCTGCTGATGCTGCAAGGGATTTGGATTTACATGCCCTACATGTAGGTAGGTGACAATTGTATTACTGGTGTACTGTAATTCTAAGTTACTGTCTTGGCACTGTTGCGGTTAACCTGTTGTTGTATGTCTGGTCTTTGGCCTGTGGAGCACCCCATAGTTGGGACATTTAGGTGGAAGGCAGTGGGTCCCCCCAGGTTGTTCTTCTTGTCTGGAGATTGGTCATGGGATGGAGAAGGACCATACCTTCCTACCATAGTAAACTACATACTAAAAGATGTAGGTTGCATTGAAGTGGGCTTCCCCTTGGCCGGACCCTAAACTATATTGAGTGAACCACTTGATGGGATTTTATAAGTTAAAGGTATGAGACATCACAGCAAAGCCCTAATGACTTTGTCTTATGGTAAAGAGGAACACTGTTACTTAATTAATGCCATTTGGATACTCAAACCAACTGTATGGAGAGAAAGCCATTTTATTCAATAAACAGAGTTGCTGGTTAATTGAATTGTCTGGTCTGATTTACTAAGGGTATGGAAAGAGAGTCAAAACCTACAGTGTATGAAAACACGTGAACAAAGTGTGTGCCTAAATGTTAATTTTCTGAGTAATGGAGAAAGATGAGTAACAAGATGAGTAACAAGCAACCTGTTCAAGAGGGGAGACAGTGGTGGCCGGTGATGGAGGTTATGTTGGAAGGGTGAATTGATGGCTGTATGGTCCTACCCTTTAGTAGCAGGGACCCGAAGTCAAGGCCTACTGCATAGCAGAACTCTCCTTTGGACTTGGCCTGGGCCAAGAGTGTGCGAAGCCTCGTGAAATATACAACAGATTCCCTCCATGCCTTCAGATTGAAGCCAATAAGGTGTAATGAGTATGTGTCTTAAGAACTGGTGAAGGAAGATCAGTGTTTAATGCCGTCTCACTCAAAATAGCTTTGTAGTTAGTACCAGAACAGGGCAGCACAGTGGCTAAATGGTTAGCATTTCTGCCTGGCAGTACTAGGGTCATCGGTTCAAATCTGCACCACCTGCCTGGAGTTTGCATGTTCTCCCTGTGCCTGTGTGGGTTTCCTCTGGATACTCGGGTTTCCTCCCACACTCCAAAGACATGCTGGTAGGTCAATTGGCTCCTGTCTAAATTGGCCCTAGTATGTGTATGAATGTGAGTTTGGGACCTTAGATTGTATGCCCCTTGAGGGTTAGGGACTGATATGAATGTACAATTTATATGTAAACCACTGCGTAAATTGATGGCACTGTATAAGTACTTGTAATAAATAATAAACATGTCACTGGCAAGAAAAAAGATGTTATCCACCTGGTGTAGCAAGTTGGCCTCCAACCAAGGGAGAGCACAAACGCACACATTAAAAGGATAAGTTCATCTTTTGTTACATGTTCCACCTGTTTTTAGAGTGGAATATGTAACATGTTCCAGCTCCTGCTGCCAGTTCCACCAATTTCCCCTTTGGTGTGACAGCGGATGGGGGATCTTCTCCCTACACCCACTGTAAGTTTTTGAAAAGAGCACGGCCTGTGAAGTAATGAACTGCAAGTACAACCAGCCACTGTGGCTGACAGCTTTACGTTTTGAATGAACTGCGAGGGTGCTGATGAGCGCTCTCATAGTTCATTCACAAGCCCTGTAGCTTTCAAACAGGCAGTCCATATAAAGGTATGGGCAAAAAGCTGCAGGGGCTTATCTGAAAAAGCCTGACATTGCACCTCCAATCCACTGATCACAGGTGTAATGCTTTCCAGGCTCCTGCAGGAAAACAAAATCAGCATAAATATGTCTTTTTTTTTTTTTAAAGGTGTACTTATCCTTTAAGTGGTAGCATCATTCAAACACTTAAAAAAGGATTAAATGGTCATAGCATGAGGTTCACCCATGCTAGTGGACCACTCCCAATATATACCGTACTTGAAGGATCAAGGCTTGCAGACTATACCTGATCCTGGTATATTCAACAAAATTCCAGTAAAATGGAACCACTTCATCCACTTGTTCATTTTGCTCAGCTGTAGATTCATTGTAAAGATGCATAGACATGCACAGAAGAACAGACTTCAAAGAAGAGACCACCATAAAACTTTTGATATCTGTTCCTTTGCAAATGTCTGTATATCTTTCCAATAAATGTATGGTCAAGCATGACAAACAAAAGAATAAAACAGTTTTATTTTACTGGAATTTTATAAGAAGCTGATATGTCTAAGCAGGAAGACAAACTGTTTCGTTAAAAACTATAGTGTCCGTTTATGAACCAGCAGTAATAGATTGCTGCTCAGTTCTCCTGTGAATGCCGTTTATGAAGCATATGTAGATCAGTTCTCCAAACGAAGGGAGAACGGTCCACAAACGCTGGAAAACGGCTGATTTTACTATAATCTCGCGAGATTACAGTAAAAGATCAGTTTACTAAACAGAGGTAAATTATCTCTGCTAAGTTTTCGGTCCCTCCGATTCTCCAGCTCTGGGCTGGAGAATCTGGAGGGAGAACACAGATCTCCAGAGAAGGGCTGAACATGTTCTCCTGGGTGTCATAAACTGTGAATGACCAGAGAATAGCTGTGATCCTCTGAATCTCAGCTATTCTGTGTGTCATAAACGGACACCTATATGGGGAGAGATTTACTAAAACTGGAGCACTCAGAATCTGGTGCAGCTGTGCATGGTAGCCAATCAGCTTCTAACTTCAGCTTGTTCAATTAAGATTTGGGAATCAAACCTGGAAGCTGATTGGTTGGTATGCAGAGCTGCACCAAATTTTGCACCATGCAATTTTAGGGCTCATGTACACTGTAGCTGCTAAACTGACATTCAGGAGCTGTTCAGCATTTTTTTTTTTCAGCAGCTCCTGAACTCTCCCTAATGTTTTTCTATGTGTCCATGTACACATCGTCGACTACAGTCATTTACAGGTAGTTGAGTTTACAGTTGTTGTTTTTTTTAAAGCACCGAACTTGCGTTCGGGAGTAGATTTTTATCAGCGTTTCAAACGACAAATGCTTGTAAACGTGTGTAAATGCTTGTAAACGCGGTTAACTGCATTTATAAGCGTTTACATTTAGAAGCATTTTTTAACTGTTCTATATCCAGCTGCTGTCTTTTTTCATCATCAGAAATGCATGCAAAATGTTTTGCAAAATGTTTTCCATGTATTCAAATGGACCCGTACACCAGCGCAGTCAGTTCCGGGCTTCGCGTGAAAGGAAAAACCGGTAGAACGTGCCGCATTATGCTCATGATGGGATCCTTAGTGAATACAAACAGAAAAGACAGGTCATCTCAACACATACTGCTCTCTCTGCTTCTGCTCTCTCTATTCCTCTCAAAATATCTGAAATAGTTAATTATTAACTATTTTTCAGTGCATTCTGGGCATTTGGGAAGGTCTCCTGAGGTTATCTTTTAAAAAAGCTTCTAAACGCAAACGCTCATAAACTTGGTATACAAACGTGGCTAAACTGACATTTTTTAACCTACGTTTACAACAGTCAGTTTCCATCGTTCAGAAGAGTTTTCCATGAGCCCTTACTTAATAACCCCTGAATGTGTCAAATGTATGATTGTTCAGTGTGGGAAAGGTGTTTTTAAAATCACAAGATTGAATATGCAGAATTATAAATCATTAGGTTGGTAAAACAACATACAGTAAATTTCAACTATTTATGTAGGTGTTTGCTGGAATTTTTGCTCTAAGCCATTATGTTTTATTTAATTTTGGAGGCTTACAGCCCTTTGTAAAGTTTTTAGTTACTTTAATTATTTCACAGCTGGGCGCCCACTGCGCATGCGCGCAAGTAGTGCTGCGCTTTCTGTATGGTCCCGTAGTCTTCTGGGACCTGTCACGTGTCCCAGGAGACTACAGGAAGGGAGGGGGAGGACAACTTCCGCTTCCAATTGCCTATTTTGACAGGTAAACTCAAACCCCCCCCCCCCCACTCCCCAAAGGCCCTTTACGGGAAGTGGGGGATGATGCTTTACCCTAGGTTCACACCAGGTTGCATTTCTGCATTACGTTTTGCATTTTTGCAGCATTTTGCTTTTTTTTTTTTTCATTTTCCTTGCTGCTAGGCACATATTAAACACAAAAAACGCATC